TTTTCTTTGTTGAAAAAAATAATATCACTTTAATAAAAGAGGAAACGTTATAAAGGAGATTAAAGCACGTGATTTAGAATCTCCAAAATTCATAAGAAGAAAAATCGGGAGTTTTTTCCCGAGTCACTTTTACAACTTCATGTTTTTGAAAACTCGGGACGCTTTTTATACCTTACGAAGCTATAGGGGGCGAAAAATAAGCTCGTAGGAGTCGCTATTCGAGAATTTATTCATATTTCTACAGATATACGAATTTAAGACGCTTTAGAGGTAAGCTCCCCGATCGACGATCGTTCTCCGAAACGTCTCTCTGTCGCGATTGACGGAAACGTTTGTCCATCCGCTCGCTCTCCGTGTGGCTTCCTCTATCCGCCCGAGAAAAAATACGTACCGCTCTATTCCTCGTCTCTATCCGCCCGCGCGGATCAGCGAAAACAGAAATACGATGGGCGAGCGAGAGGAATCGCTACTTTTTTTTTCGGTCGGGCCAATCGGTGCGTGGCAGCTGCGATCCTTTCTCGAATCTCTTTCCTTTCGCGTGTGTTCCCTCTTTTCTTCAAACCGACAGGCCCAGGTTTTCCCCGGGTAATCCCTTCGTGGAAGAACGATGGACGAGGGGAGGGAGAGAAAACACAGAAAGAGAAAGAGAGAGGAGGCAGAGCGGTTCTTGCGCGCGCGGGAGCGGAAGAAACGAGGATGGCCCGCGAGAGAGGACGACCGACGATCCCGCGCTGTTTGCCTTTTATTAAACTCTTGTTAAATGCCGCCTTTCACCGCACACACAATTGAATCGGCAAAACAGCGGAGATAATGCCCCTACCGGCTCGGTATACGCCCGCAGGACCCGGAGGCTCTAACGAAAGAGGGAGAGCGAGCGAGCGAGCGAGAGATAGATAGAGAGAGAGAGAGAGCGAAAGAGAGAGAGAGGGAGAGATGGAAAGAGAGAGGAAGACTTACCGCAAACACCAGTTCCTTGTACGTCTTGAAATGGACACCGTGTAATCCGCCTCTTTATGCAGCGACTGCGGGAATCGCCCGGGATCCTTTAGCCGAGGATCCCGCTCGCGTAGGGGAGGATCCTCGGCGTGAAAGGTGGCCCTGATCGATTTCTCGTGAAAAGAAACCTCCGCGAAAATGGCGCGGTCCACCCTCCGCAAAACGGGCCCGTTTAATGAAAATATTTGGATGTTTCCAAACTCAAGATCGACACACGGTCGTCGAAAGGGCGGGGGTGGGGGGGGGGGCCGTTTCGGTCTCAAAGGGCTGGAAATCGAGGACCCTTCTTCCACGATTACGCGCGCAACGGAACCCTTTGCTGAAGCTGTACCTTCGCGCACGTCTTAATTCGCATAGCCGCGTGACACGCGAAAAAAGAGGATCACGTTCGTCTCGAGACCACTTTAAACGATCCATAATACAGAATAGAATTCTATTTGTACTTTTGTGTCGTGTATTACGAAAAATATATTTAAAGAGAATCAGGGTACGCAACTATGTAAAATTGTATATTAAAATGCAAAATTTTGATATGTATCAAAATACATAGAGCACTTTTAAACAATTTATGATTCGTATAAAAATTCAAATCATAATTCTAAGTTTATGTATTGTATAAAAAATATTTAAGAGAGAATCAGAATACATAACGACGAGGGATGTTTCTAAAGTTTTGGGAAGCGTGCCCTCTAAACCTTTTACTTCGTTCATTTTTATTAACATTGCAGTATAATCTTTCAACGTAGTTTTTATTTAACTGAACATACTTATCCTAGCGCAAAACCATTTTTCTTAGGCTTTTTTAAGGGTATCTTTTATCGCGGCAGAATTCTCAGAACTTTGGAAACATGTCTTGTATAAAATATATAAAATGCGCACGTATATCAAAATAGAATTATAATACAATATAAAATTATGATGTTCTACAATTCTACAATTTTCTCATCAGAGAATTCAGAATAGAATTAATATAGTATTTTATATATATTTTAATATAAAAATATATATAAAAAGAATCAAAATGTATACAATTTGTATTTATTTTTTATATTGTATTCACATACACACACGCACACAAACGTACATTAAAATATTCACGTATACCAAAATACATGACATATAAAACTATAAATAAAATTCTATCGTAGAATCTATATTATTTATAGATTATTTAAGCTGGCCTTTAATCACTTTAAAACGATTATTCGAAGCTTTTATTAAAACAGACGACATTCACGTTACGCTTTATTCGTATAACGTTTTACTAAAAACAATACGTATCTCAATATTATTCGATAGAGAATGGAAAGTATAAATGGATATTAACACTTCGTTCCAGAGCTGCGCTTGGATCGATTAGGAAACAATAAATAAAAAAAATACATAACAAAAATCCACGTGTGTTCCCCCCCCCCCCCGCGACCGTCTACCCGTGACGATTATTATTATCCGCGGTCGCGCTCGTAACGGTTCGTTGCGTCACTGCCGCATCGCTCCGCTCCATCCCGCTCCGCTTCGCTCTCGGGCACGCATCGGTGACATCGGTTTATAAAAAAAACACTTTTAATCGCTGGCTTGAGATATGTCTCAGCATCAGAGGTTACGCCGTGAAAAATAACGGCGATACACAAACGGCGATATCGCGGCCCGGCGGTTCTATCGTGTTATTTATTGCCGGAGCAGAGAAATGAAATTCCTGGAAGGAGAGGGAGGGAAACGGGGCGTTTTTCTTCCGATCAAATCGCACGCAAACACACGGTCGCGAAATAATACCTCCGGCTGTTTTTACCTCCTGCGAGGGAGAAAAAAAATTTTTTTAATTCGTATCTCGTTACGAGCTCGTTAATAGACAATCGGTTAAGCTTCTCCCGAAAAACAGTCGACGCTCGAGAAAGGCTTAATCTATAAAATAGTATTTATCCACGTTTACCCAGCCCTAGACGATAGATTCGAGAATGCGTTTTGATTATTATCGTTATGAATTAAAGCGAAAATGTGAATAGACGAAATTCAGTTTCGGAAGAATTTAAAGCGAGCATCCAGAAAATTGGACCTTACTTTTCGTAATTCAAATAGTCGCACTTTTATATTTTTTTTCATTACAACCCTTATAGCTTTAAATTTGCTTCATTTAGAACTGAAATAATGATTTGATTTATTTATATTTTCAACGCTTAAATTTACCTAGTGTGTTCGCTTTTGGAATGTTGAAAGAGCCCACTTTAAATGATCTATAATTCGCATCGGATTTGAAGTAACACTATAATATAATTTTGTAGGTAGTGTATTTGATAATATATATTAATTTTATATACGCGTGTATTAACATATGTTTCTCGTGTCACAATTAGAAATAAAATTCTCTCTGTCTTGGACTCTCTATTTATAATTTTATATGCCATATTTTGATATATGTGAGCGCTCTAATATATATCTTATATATATATATATATTCCAATTCTTCAGGCAATTTTCGTGTCATGCGACATGTAAAATTACATAGTAAAATTGTATTCTGAACTCCGACGACTCCAATCCAGATTGTCGAAAGCGGATCTGGGTACTCTCGGTAGGCGTGGCGTGGAAAAATAAAAAGAAGAAGGCGCGGGAGTGATTTATAAACATCGTTTATTTCTGCGCTGTGTATTTCGTATATAGTCGGCTCGACAATGACGGGAGCAAAACAGCTTTAATCGTTCACCCGCGCACTATCTCACGCGATTTATTCTCGTTTCATACACACCTACAGTGGTAACGAAGTAAAAACCAAGTACTCGTACAAAACGTAGAATATCTTGTTCTCTATCTTTTTTTCTTTTCTTTTTTTTTTTAAGAAGTCGGAGAGCAGTAGAATTTTGCTTTAAGGGCACGTGTTAGGACTCTGTACGCGTGTACGCGTATATTTATACATATCTTGTTATATATACATACCCCTGGTGAAAAAATATCAGAATTTTTCATATTATTTTTCATATCAGAATTTTTATAAAAATTTTCAGATTTTTTCAAGAATTCTCAGAATTTTTTAGATTTTTTTTTTTTATAGAAATTGGAAATTTTTTTTAGAAAAATTCAGACAAAATAAAATATTTCAAATTTTTCCCGCTAACATATCTACAAATTTAAATAAATATGAGGAAATCTGTACAGTTTATCACAAAATTTCATACATACGGATATTAAAATATTCGAAAAATCCTCATCCAATTATTTCTGAAAGTATTTTCATATAAGTCTCAATTTTTAAAGAATTTCTAAGAAAAATAAGATATTTTTTTACCAGGGACATACTCTTTTTTTCTCTCTCCTACGTATACTTTCAACGGAAATGGCGTTACGCGATATGGTATTTCCGATAGATGTAGACTCGACGTCGTAACAGTAATTTACATTTCGCTTTGTGCTTATATTTTCCTTATTGATTGCTGTTGCGTTTATCGCTTCGTTCTCTTCTCCCTCGTCCACCTAATCGTCAGCCTCTGTCGCTCATTATCCGGCGATTATTATAATTGACTAATAAATACAGCGGCGAAAGTACGAGATTATAGAATCTGGCCTGCGCTCGCGCAATACGCGAAGCCTCCGAGATACCGATAATTGATATTTATTATACATATATGTATATGATATATATTATATACTTAATTGCTAATCGCTCTCATTAGGTGTTACACAACGTTTGATCTTCCGACCGCTAAGCTTTTTTGCTCCATGTGCAGCTAGCGTCAATAATTACATCACTGACTTATTGATGAATAAAACGTATTTTAATTTAGTTTGCAAACATTCGCTTCCGAGTCGCGTCGCAGGTGGCAGATGAAAAGAACGCGCCGGCCGCTAAGCGGATTAAAGAAGTAAATAAGGGGTAGCTATGTAAGGGAAAGTAATTGCGAAATAAAACGTGACGTTACACTTCAAGGAGACAAATTTTTAAAAAAATTCGTTTTTAGAACAAAACTGCAAGAATAAAATGGCATTAAAATCTGAAATAGCCCCTTCTAAAATGCTCGAGGTAATTTTTATATTTTTAATAAATAATATTCGTACAATTTCATACAGTTTCACCTCAGGACGAATCTATCTCTATATTTGCTTATTGTAATCCGTTAAAATCGCTACATTTCGTCACGTTTTCAAAGACGTCTCTCTATCGTGACAAATTGCGTTTTGTGCAAATAATGACGCTACTTTACTCAATGAGTTACTTTCGGAAAGTTTCTCAGTTCGAAATAAGCTCGCGCGACAAGAGACGGATACACGTTGCCAGCTTTTACCAGTTTATAGTCAGTATTATCCGGTGGCACGGAGAAATGCGCAACGGCACCATATCTTTTAGATACGTAGGAGGCATAGATCTTAATTTAGCCGTTTCTTACTTACTACCATTAATCATTATACGCACAACCAAAGCAACTATACCAGTATAACTACCGGTAACCCTATTTCGTCTCTTTTTTTTTTACACAATCGCATATTCTTATCCTATTTAAAAAAAAAGTGTAAAATCTATCTTGAACCTCTGCTTAGATTTTGCTCTTTTCTCGTTCATTCGTTTCCACAGTTTTATGCGTTCGCTATGGATTTACGTACAGAGCGCAGAATTATCATTTCTTGATAGTGTGTTAGGGTTCTTTACTATTACGTTGATATCATTTTTGCCGCAAATTGCGTGATACGAAATACAAATTGGCACTCCATTTCTTGATAACTCGATTGCTGGATTATATAAAGAGACAGTCCAATACGGCGAACTAAATTTCTATTCTAATGGTGCGTGTCCACTTGCGAGTAAGAACTCTCGAGAGCAAAAAGAGAGAAAGAGAGAGAGACTCTCGAGAGTATCTCTCTCTCTCTTTTTCTTTTTGCTCTCGAGAGTTCTTACTCGCAGGTGGAGACGCACCTTTAGACATGAAGAATGATTCCGATTGCTCCGTTAGGGAGAGTTTTAATATCAAAGGATGTGATACGAAATTATACATGCGTCTTTTTCTCAAAACAACGATATAATCTAATGTTCTTAGTGTCACGCTTGTCCGAAAGCTAATGATTCATTTTTGTAATATACGTAATGCAGTTGGTCATTAAAAAAAATGAGGAGGAGAAAGAGGGGAGAGAGAGAGAGAGAGAGAGAGAAGAAAGACAAATAAATTAATTAGACATTTTCAAAAACAAAACGTACTTCGTAAATATTATCCTAAGACAAGTTCTTTCATTTCGTCATATCTATACTATCGATAGAAATCGTTAACGAGGTAAAACACATCTAATAAATGTAATATGCAGAATTCGAATGTTGATTGCCGAGTGTTTATCTTTTCATTGAGCGACGCGGATCTAAAACCCAAGTGTTTAAATGCTATATCTCCATGGAGAAACATGGAGAATACGTATATCATATTTCACATGATACAATTATAAATTCGGTAAGAATACATTTTACATCGAAAATATAGGTATATAATATATACATCTTTCTGTTATAGAGCCAAAGTAGAAGTTTTAGTCGTGCGGAAAACATTTATCGCGATATCACGATGTACTTCGTACGAGCTCGATATCTTTTTCGGACTAAGGTCTAAATACATCAATCGACATTAAAAGCTGGAGAATCAACGTAAAGATTTGATTCCTCGTATCTCTTATCGTTAGTTAAGTCTCCGTGTTGGTGACTCCATTGGTGATACAATATCATTATCACACTTCTCAGTTAGGAAGAACCGTCTTGTTTCTTTGGACTTTCCGATCGCGACATTCTCCTCAGCGGCTATACTCGGCTATACTGGAGTTTAGGCATGGGTCTCGTTAACTTATCTTCGACTCTTTTACCTGCTCACAGCGATCCCTTCGTTACCTCTTGCTCCTCCGTCTGTGTTGGTTGACTTTACGAGTACATTATAACCCTATGATAGATATATATCGCGCCGGGTATATACCTGATGTGCTAACGAGGGAACATTTGAGCATCACCTACGATTCGAGGGGTGTTTTTGGCGGAGTGTAAGACATTTCCATCGTGACACCGCCGCTGCCCCGTCGAAACCGCGACGGAATTCCCGGGATGTCGATGCTGTTGCGGGGCTTGCGCCTGCTGAGATGCCTCTCGACCCACTTCAACATCGTCAGAACCGAATCCGTGCTGGGCAAACGTCTCTCCGCGGACGTACGAATGATGTGCGATGACGCAACGCGGAAAGTAGCGGCCATACCTTTCAATGCCTAGACAGAAATAGATTCAAATTCTCATGATGACCGATACGCTAATGCCGTTTCTGATGGACTAAAAGATATCCTCGCTCGAACAGGAGCGGCAGAATCGATCGACTTCGTACCTTCATCGCGTCTTCGTCCGTGACATCGTCGCCAGCGTATATAATCCTGATACGCTCGCTCCAATCCAGGCCGAATGCCGTGCGCAGGATGTAGATAGAAGCACGGCCTTTGTTCCATTCGACCGGCGGTCTCGCCTCGATAGCGCAATGAGCGGCACAGGCCTTGAATCCCGCCTTCTCGATAAGTTTTTTAGCTAGCTCGACCATCTTGGGGCGACCCTCCATCGGAGTTTCACGATAGTGGAACGTGAGAAGCGCACCTTTATTTTCGACCCAGGCGCCGTCCCTGCAAAGCTTTATCAGCACGGCAGACAGGACACGTAAATACATTGTAGATTTTGTCAGGATAAATATAGAAAACGTGCGATCTGAATCTCTTAATGATTTCGCGTGATAAATATTTAATCCATTTAATAAGATAGCGCCGTTAACGATTTCATAGTCATTATGGACCATCTATCATCTTCCATCAACGAGAAGCGTTCCAAGCGATATCATGTATATTTATATCTGTATTTATATTACAAATATCGATGGGGATCTCGCGTACCTGTTCCTGAAGAGTTTGCATCAGACTGCCAACCTGTTCCTCCAGTTCGGCAGGCATGGGATGGACGAACTTACTGCCGTCCGGGTGCAGGATCTCCAGTCCGTGATTCCCGGCGTACGTGATACCCTCTATCCCGACCATCGATTTCACGTTGTTCACGTTTCTGCCCGATATAATCGCGATGTAAACGTCCGACATGTTCGACAACCTTTGTAGGACGTTCTTCGTCTCGAGCGGTAGAATCGCCAGGTCGGGATGCGTGGCAATGGGTGCCAGCGTACCGTCGTAATCCAATAGAAGCGCCAATTTATAATTATTACCGATGTACCTAGGGAACATGTGGTTGTCACTGGATCGTTATCCGGCTTTCGTCATGAGTCAGGTAACATTCGCTCGCGTGGGCCCGCCGTCATCTCGTAAAAGCGTGTTCTTTGATTTTTCAATCTCGTATATCCCGATTTACAGATCATGGGGATGTTTGGACAGGGTATTTAGGATCAATACATCTCACATAGCAAGAGAATGCATCGTCAATCACCGTCGTTACCGCCATCGGCGACGACGTCATAAGCATAGCCAATTAATTATATAATCACGCTGCGACGTACCCAAACTCATGCTCAGCTTAAGAGTATCAGAAGCGTAGCTGATTCACTTAAACAATCAAAGGGAGAAAACGCCGTATTCACTTAATTTTAACTTAAATCTAAAATATCAATGCAGTGAGCCTTTTTCCTGAAGTGCTCCCTTCGCGCAAGATAATTGCGCGATATTCGTTACTTATGTAAATATTTGTGTATTATCACACATCTTATGGTCTATGGATATCTCCCGTTCATGCGCATGCGCTGGTCGGGCCCAGTCATGCACATCTCTTAACAAATATGATACCTACTTGCTCAAGTAATCGTCGAAATCATCCATGGTCACGGGCTGCATCACGGTAGCGCCCACGGAATCGGTCTCCTCGAGGGATCCCATTACCTGAAGGAAGGACTTCATCCAGTAATTAACGTCGTATATCCTCTCGCGCCGACGTAAGTGGTTCATTCTCAACGTGCGTTCGTCCTCTGGCATGGTGAGCGCCCTGTCAAAGCAAATTTAAATCATTTCACTTCGTTCACGGGTATCACAAATCGCATCTTAATTAAAACTAGATTACAAGGAAAAATAAAACCTCGAATCGACAAATAGCACATAATTTAATCTATTCAGACTAGTTCCGTTACGAAAAAAACGGATAGTGTACCTGTGAATCACCTCCGCGGCCTCGTCGATCTCATAAGGATTACAAATCAAGGCTTCGTGCATCATTTCGCCAGCCCCAGCAAATGGCGATACTATCAGTACTCCCGGCGGTGTGTTGATCTGACAGGCAACGAATTCCTTGGCGACCAAATTCATGCCGTCCCGGAGCGGTGTGACGAGAGCGACGGCGGCGTCCCTGTAGAACGCCGCGAGCTCGTCCTGGCTCACACAGCCGTAAATGTAACGTATGGGCGACCAGTTGGGCGTTGTAAAGCGACCGTTTATGGAGCCGATCAGTTGTTCCATTTCGAGCTTCAGCTCCTGATACTCGCGAACGTCAGTGCGTGAGGGTACTGCGATTTGAAGCATCGTCACCTAACATACGCCACGTAAACGGGATTTGAATATGACCGTTTCGACAGCTCTGATACCATCGGCAAATCACTTTGCGAGGAAAGAACTCGCAAATAAGTGCATTAGATAATGACCTGTTCGCGATGCTCGGGATGTTTCTCCAACAGCATCTCGAAGGCTTTCAGTCTGTGAACGAGGCCCTTCGTGTAATCGAGCCGATCGACGCCGAGGACGATCTTCTGACTCGACGTAATGACTTTCGGTGCGGTCTCCGCCAACGAGACGAACCTATCGAATGGTATACCGATCGGCAGCGGCCTTACCCGCACTGTTCTACCGCCGTGTTCGACCAGCAAGTTCTTACGGTCCACTCTGCAGCCGAGACTCCTCTGGCAGCAATCGACGAAGTTCAGGCAATAATCCTGAATGTGGAAACCCACCATGTCGCACCCTAAACGTTGCGTTGCCACAAAGAGAGTCACGTTAGAAATTGGTCCAAGAAGAGAAACAATTCACGCGATATCAGGAAGAACCACTCACCCAGCATACCCTGCAGGATCTCGTCGGCCCATGGGAACAACCTGAAGATGTCCCACGGCGGGAAGGGTATGTGAAGGAAGAAACCTAATTTAAGTCTGAGATTCTTATCTTCAGCCGCCTGTCTGATCCAATTGGCGGCTAACATAAGATGGTAATCGTGAACCCATACCAATGGCGTGCCGTTCTGCTGATTCTCCTGTTCCTTGTGGATTTGTTCCAAGGCGCCGACCTACGTCAGACAAATTCATCTGATATTCAGGAGAACTGAGAAATCGCTTAATTACTACGTCAGGAATACTGAATGTGTTTTTATAACATTTAGCTCTTAGTTAATGCAATTTTTTTTGCATTATGAGGACAGTAAATATTATTATAACATTATTACGTTTGCATTTTACTGAAACGGAAATATTGAATTAAGGGCGAATACGGGAATATTGAATTAAAGGTGAATTACGAGATGACGTTGAAGACGTGAATTAATGAGATCCAGTTGGAATAAAAGATATTCTTAAATAAAAACGCGGTCGATAATCATCACAAGCATAAAATCGTACTGTCTCCGCTGCGAACTCTTCATTGACAATGGAATACGCGCGCCAATGATCTGCGATGAAGGTCGCCCGATCCGGCATAGAATGGAAGAGGGGCCAAAACGTTCCATTGCAGCATCCGTTGTAATACGAGTCAAAGACGCCGGGTTCAATGTGCACCGCGACAACCTGAAAATAAAGAAAGGAAAATTAAGATTGAGAGACTGAGGGGAATTCTTCGTCGCGGTTCTTTACGATCATTCGTACTCTTAATACGCATTTCTGTCACTATTTCAAGAGGATTAATTCGAGTTGGAAGCATATTGCAATGCAGATAGCGTATTAAATAGCATCAGAATATGACGGAGCACCTTGGCAAACTTGTCAGTAAGTGTAATTGTATTTTTAGATGTTCCACATGTGAAGTAAGTAATCTCCTACAGTCATGTATGCATATGCAGGCACATAAATATGTAAAGTTATTGTTATTGTTAATAATTAATAACAATTATTACATATTAATTATTATTAATTATAATTACTGTTAAATATATAATTATATATTTCATTTAAAATGACAATGTCCAATAACGTCATATATACAGAATTATGATTACGGCGGGCATTTCAAGCGTTTCCCCTCATTTATAACTCGAAAAATAAAGTAAACGATTTAAGTTTATATATCATTATTTTTATTTTGGACTGTGAACTTATCCAGAGACACATATGTATTGATGTACTGACATACAATTAAGAGTTATTTTGTGTATAGTACTTCGAGTTGAATCGTGTGTGTTATCAGTTATCGTTGTTTTAATAGACACTATAAAGTGACATAAGGATTAGTTGCATTGTTCTAACAAACGTTTGCATAAAAGATTTAAAGGGAGTTATATCTCTATAGCAAACAAAAAAAAACATTTTTTTAGAAGTTTCTAACTGTATAATATGTGTAAGATATGTATCGCGAGTCGAGAATCATTCAACGGAAGCGGCATCGCGAAAAATTGATAATAAGAAATGGGACAGGGGCGATAAGTATCGGATTGTGTGAAAGTGTGTAAAATCTGATTACCGGTTCCTCCTCTCAGTATCTCACGCCACTCATTGTTATTTTACCCACGACACTACCTCCTTTATTTCCAATTGCGACTGTGAAAACAGGCCGCGCGCCAAAGAGGCGCGCGGCTTGCCTGACGCAAGTGAGCAATCGCTGACAGGCGATAACGCGGGGCTTGATACTTCTGCGATAGACACAACCAACCGCGACTGTCGGTTTGTTGTTTCTCTTCGATGCGGATATCGCCGTTTTACAGGCATATTAATTAAGAGAGGTCAGGGAAAGCGACGGCGGGGCTTCTTTCCCCCGTCGCGTATGTATGTATGTATGTATGTATGTATGTACATACATGAGTCCGGCCGGATTGGGAGATCGTCATTGTTTTATCTCGAGCGAGAACGAGAGAGAGGAGAGGAGAGTCTCGTACGCGTCGGAGTTGCTTAACCGCGGAATGATAAAACGTATCAATTCACCGACGATTTCTTTAATCGTCGAGCGAAATCGGGTGGAAACAAGCGATGACCTCGATCGATTTTAATTTGAGGGATCGCGGGGTCAGAACTGTGTTAAAAGCGCGCTGTCGCTCCGAATTACGAACGTCGGCGTAAAGCATTACAAATGTAATTATGGGGCCGTAATAGCGCATTTCACGCGGTCAGCATTCTAAGTCCCTCCAATCGAATTTGTTGCACGCACACGTGTCAAGTGGTCCCTTCCGATTGGAGAAATTCGCAGCCGAGAGACAGATCGCGATAACGAGTAGCGATATTATAAGTATTATTCGATAATTGCGCGGAGAATTTCAGAAATATTTCGATCGTATTATTTGCAAGGAAAAATATTTTGAAACTAGACAGCAAATAAAAAGTATACCAGTTTGTATACCATTGATAAGTTTCGACTGGTACCTATACCGATTGGCATATCGAGTATCGACGCATATACCAGTTGCGCGGCGTGATTATTTCGGCACGATGATCTCGAATCTCTGTCAGTACAAAGTTATCTTTGTTATTTAGACGCATAGGCAGATTTTATGAAAAACGTGTATCTCGCATCTCCGCTTCGCCCGACGGTCCATTTAGGAAATAATGATTATAATGAAAACATTTTAATTGCTCGTTATCGCGTGTCTCGCAAGCGTACTCCACGTGACACGACATGATAGTCGGCTTTCCCCCCTTACAGCATTGTTTTTCATTCTTGCCTTCTTTGTTTCCTACATGCTCGTCGTGTTATGCAAACATATTATTGAAACGTCACGGCCAGCGATAGACGGCAAAATAGAGCGGCTGAGCAAAGAACGATGCATGTGCAGCCACCGAAACGCCGATGGTGAAATCGATGTAAGGCGGAAAAGTAAGTTTCAGAAAGAAGCAAGAGGAAAGACTTTCATGTCACAGTAAAAATAAAAAATAAAAAATAATTTCTTAGTGTTGAAAGGCCTGGCGGTATCGATGAAAATCGGCAAATATTGCTTTACATTTTCAAAAACCGAACAAAAAAGGTAGGCATGCACAGGCTGGTGTAAATAATTCCGGTATAAATAAAAGGTGTCTTTCCAAATAGGGTATCTCTCTAAAAAAGGCATTACTCTAGAAAAGGAATAATCTTTTTAAATAATTCTTTAAGTCCTTTCCCTTGTATTTTTATCAAGACGTATAAGCTTTTGTTTATCTTTATACTTGTCATTTTGATTAGAAATAATAATTTCTCTTTAATTTTAATTTTTCGAATATTTTGAATTGCTCGAGCGGTATCGGGATGGTGATTTGTGCAAGAAATTAACAGATTCCGGGGTCAGTCGTTTCTTTTTTTCCTTTTAGAAATCCAATGCCTGAGTAAGCCGTTGAAAATTTCCACGTAACGATAATCGTCGTGCCGGTCGCCACGCAGCCTGCGTCCGCGTCGGACTTAATCACCGCTGTTTTGTTTAACGGTGTCGTAGGCTATCGCCTGGACATCATTATCGGCGATCTTGAAAGGCGCTCTTGCGGCGATTCACGTGATCCGCCGCGACGTCCGCGCGTGGGTGTATATACGTGGTATCCGCTAATCCGCTAATCACCAGCGTAGCCGGCCAGCTAGCCAGAAGTCGTCATTTTACCGATAGGCTTGCAACGCCGTCATCCAGCCGATAACCCACCGATCGACCTCGTGACACGAATATCCGTGACACTGTCAGTTCATTTCGAACTCATTCACGCGCGAAATCGCGTTAGGCGACCGATAATAATAATAATTAAAATTTAAAAAGTAACAATAATAACGGACGCGCTTGGCATTGTGCTAGTTGTTACGTAATACGCGAGAGAAAATGTACCTTATCCAAGTTTGATCTCGCAGATGAAGAATTAAATCGTAGGTCGAAGATCAGTTAGTCCAGTTCAGATAAACACGGAACGTATGTACAATAATACTATTACGTTCTCGACACCGTTTTTCCGAATGCGTTGGCGGTGTCTAAACGACGGAGCTTCGACATTCGTTTCTTCCTACGTCAAGGAAAAAAGGCTACTGAACGTCTCTCCGAGAGTTTTCCAATAAGAGAGCTGTTAAAACGTCATCGTTTCATCGTGTTGCTTCAATCTACGCCAACGGCAAAGTGGTTTATAACGATTATGAATATGAAATGCGCGCATTAATCATTACAAGAGCTTTTATGCTTTACGTGCCGAAAGAGAATAAAATGATCGTTTATCAGAGAGTAAAGTCGCGTTGCTCTTGCCGGAAAATACGCGATATCGCCGTGAAAACAGTCTACAAATAAGCTGTTTTGAACTATCGCCGAACTTTCTGGCGCCGAGGGGAACGGCAAAGGGCATCTCCGATCGATCTGGTTCATCAATTTTCTTCCTCGACCGTGGAAGGCGATTTTCGTAACGATTCTGCCACTCGCAAACTCCTCGCAAACTCGTTAATTCGTAAATAAACTGTTCTGACAATTAGCAAAATAAAGCATGGCATTATCGATCGAATAGCCGCTGGTCCTAGTTGTTATAAAAGAAAGGAAAGCGTTAAATTATTGCCGACGCGCTACTTGTCGCGAAAGGTGACCATTTCGATTCGAAACATTCGACGACGTGGAATATTACAGGTCGATCGAGGTGGGGAACGTACGTGGTGACTCTTATTCCTGTCGCGCCGAAGGTTGTCAATATACGCATGCTGTCAATGCCAAGGTTAGTACACTCCACGTAATTAAAGCGGTGATAATGATAAAGTGCCGCTTGGCCCACATTATGATTCATTTGAGTTACGGATAACTGATCCTTCTTGATTTCGTTTCAGTAAAAGTATCCAAAAGACGTGGATGTCGCAGTCCGGAATGTTTAAACATTTAAAAACAATACCACTATACACGGCGAGCGAGAAGAAAAATCTCAACAACTGCAAGTTTCAATTTTTTAAATTGTTGACGATTATTTTATCTATCTTGAATGACAATTTAAAGGGCAAAAAGTCGCGAGGCGCTTTAACTTGAAGAGAATGCGAGAAAATTTGATTAAATACGTGAGTCGCGACTGTTTGCTCGTGTGATGCACAACGATCGCATATTTACAAACGGGAAACCGGCGTTCTCACGTTGCGGCAGTAAGATACATCATTAAGTACGTGATAGTGTAACTTATGATTTTCTTAACGATTTAATCGGTTGTTGTTTTGGAAAATTTGCATACAAAAGAATCAAAGTGGTTTCTACAGTGATCCGCGGGTTGAGTGATTCCGTTTTTTTTTTTTTACTGCGTATGAACGATCGTTAACGTTACGAATACAAGACCGCGATTACGTAAGGCTGCACGAATTGTAGTCGTAACGAAATATCAGCGCTGCGATTGCTATCGCAATTAACGGAGGCTCACCTTTCGTGATAGCAGACCAGCCGTGGGCGTGCGATCGTTGGGATCGGATTCGGGAATCGGCTCGTTCGGGTTTTCCATGTGCATCCCCGGCCATCCGACCCAGATTCCATTTCCGCTTATGACAACGGGTGCTACCGCGGTTACCAGACCACCGGCGCTGTAAAAAAGAGATAGAGAGGAGTTAATGAAAAAGTACAGATGAGCAAAAATAAACGTCACGCACGTGAACCAAGATGAGCGAGAATCTCATATTTGAAGAAATATTTTCTGTCAAAATAATTCTTGTAAGATTTTGCGAATTAGGATCAGAGAGAAGAGTATACAGGATATTTTATTTAAACAAGTTGTCATTCTAAAAAAATAATTAAATGCTTTACCTACTATATAAAATTATTTATTTAGGTAAAAATGTTTTCCTTGTCCTATCAGACGTAATAGTGTTTTGGAAAACATTATAATAATTACGTTAGAGCGTTAACGGATACCTATCTGCTTTCAGATGACACAGAGTTCTAATTATATCCGATACTTAATTCGTTCACGTTAATAGAATGGCAAACAATTTGACAGTCGTGTTATGTATGACAAGCGCATTTATTGGAATTCTGCTTCCCATTTTAATTTGTCGAGCGACAAAAATATCCAGTATACATAAGAGAATTTAGAAAAAAAAAAAAAGCAACAGATATAAAACTCTAATATTATTCGTTACCGAGATAGGATGGGAAGAATGGGTAATAAAAAAAAATGTAAATAAGTAGGAAATGCGCGTCTAAGGTCATTATCGGAACGTGCCTCGACTCTGACGAAGTCGATGGTCGATGGTGTTGCTCGTTTAACACATCCAGCATCCAGTCTCAAACAATTTTATTTTTAACGCAAATATCTCGGAGCGCCGAGAAAAAATCTTGCTGGTGAGAATTGACGTTAAAGGTCGATGTTATGCCTACTGTATTCTCGTCACTTTTACGGCCTAATCACGCTTTTAATTAATCATGTATAAATTAAAGAAACACATTTCTTGCGTGTAAAAGTATTGTGAGAGAGCGAATGCGTTTACGATATATCGTATTGATCGACACTCGAGAGTCGTTTCGCCGGAGAACGCGTTTGTCGTAATTAATTAATTAATTATACATTTAGTGCGGGCACGTTCAAGCGCGACATTGAGTATAATGACCAACTTGTTTACGTAATGCATCGGTCGGTTGTGCTCGCTTTGTCCGTGATCAGCCGAGAGATTTCCTAAAGTACGTCAATCGCGCGTAAACGCGTGACGACATCGTAACATTCATTCCGGAAGTCGCACTCCGGTCGTAATTAATTTGGGTATCGCGCTGCTTTTACGATACAATTCGCTAATTAGTCAATGCGTGCCTACTTTCAGACGGATTTGGTTTACTAATATTATGCACAATTTATTTTTCTTCTCGGCGTCAAATTGATCAAAGAGAATACGCAGATGAAGGGAGACGTTACAGAAATCCAGGACACCCCGTGGACTATGTTGTATTTTACGCGCGATTACCTGCTGATCGATCTTTAAACGTCAGGTAGAAAAAGGTGTCGAGTTGAGTCGAGTTTCCTTGTGGTAATATAATTATTAAATAATCGACATCGAGTCGTAAATCGTTCGGTATAAATGGAAACGAACGAATGTTTACGATTTATGTCGCCGCTGTTCCCCGTTACGATCAATATCTTTTATCTAACAGTGCTATAATTACTGTTTGTACGACCTTTTATGTGACACTTCTATGACGTTGAAATTAGCGTCGACCTGTGTGCAACTCGTACGATCTGTTTTAAAGACATCATGAGACGGAGATTTTGAGAATTATCATGCCGGACATAACATTCGCGATAGCGCCGTCTTAAATATGTTATCGTGATTCGCTTTCGTTCGAATTAATGATAACTCGATAACTTCGCATTAATCCCGGTACATTGTAGCATTACCGATTCGGCGCAACAATATCGGATGATGTAACGAAAAAAGGAGATAAATTTATATAAACATTATAACCCGTCACACACGAACGATTCAACGTGCGTGTGCGATAAACAGATCCGGCATGATTGGACGCATTGATACCTTTGGCATTGAAAATTATCGGCCAAGTACCTAACGATAACCAGGAGCAACTGCATTCGCGTTAGTATTTTTCCACGATTCGGCGCGAGTCGCACATCGTCAGGTACGATCGCGAGCTGCAACGGGATCGCGTGGGCGGATGTAAGAGCAAGAACACGAAACACGCGCGTATGCGACCGGCATAGACACGCGGTAGACACGTGCGACGATATGACTCATGTAACGCAGGTGGCGTACTTACGCGACCGCTTATCGGCCACTTTGAGAAATTTGCGGTAAATGCGCTGTAAATGTGTGGTAATCGCCAATCGGGCGACACGTACGACGATACAGGTGATTCACGCTTCGTTAGCCCGATATACTTTTCCGTGCCAAGAAAACTTCATTATGGTTTCGTAAGACTCGATCGCGTAATTATGTGCTGGCCCTGAAGAATATACCGGAAATAATGACCGACGTGTCATCCGCGATGAGATAGCCGAGGACTTGTATAAAAACGTGTTTTCTAAATTAAAAAAACTTGAATTATATGAACAACGGAAGCGGATCGCTAATTAATTGGATGTGTAATATATAAATGTCTCTGGAATAGAAAAAATTTATATATACATATATATAAATTTTTATATAATATATAATATATATATATATATATATATATTCAAATGAATTAGAAACTTCCCTTCAAGATAAAGAATGCACGACTTAATTGGATAAATAAGTGGAGCGTACACTCGGATTTATGGAGATCGGTTTCAAAGAATCTTTTTTCACGCACGTCGATTGCATTCGTATCACTAACGATTATTCACCGTATCAATTTCGTGACGTCGATGATACGAGCAGAAGACGATCGTAAGAATTCGCACTAATCCAGCCCCATCCGGTACAAAAATCCTGATGCGTGACATTTTGTAAGAGTGGTACCATCTGTATACTTGCGATTAGATTACGCTCGTCGAAAAAAGTTATTTTGAATGTGATTACAAGAGGACTATGTTGCGCACGCTCACCCCGCCAAGTCGATATATTGGCTGCATTCCGATATTCACTGTCAGCAACTTTCAGTACTGAAAATCTATAGTATACGTGACGTAAAATATAGATTTGCAGTACTGACAGTGAATATCGGAATGCAGCCATTCTTTTTATTTTATTTACTTCAATTCAATTAATCGCCCCGCGCGTGGAGCGATCTCCAATCGCTCTCTCAGGCAGATTTTGCGGCGCGCATTTTCTCGATCGATGCAAATAGCGTCTACCACGTGCTAGATATTCTTGTCAACATATTTTTCAAGCGAGAAGTCTTGTCGAACAGAGATTGTATCGCGTTCTCCAAATATGAAAGTTTCAAGTTGAACTTTGTTATTCGCATTTTTGTCACCGATCTGCTGACTGTATCTATGTACGCCGTATGTTTATTTTCTGATACGACGCGCGTCTTTTACTGAAATAATCGCTCCTTCTGTTTGTGACATGTGCACGTTCGCCACACATATCTCTCCTTCCACTTCCAAAATGAAACTTGCACTCAGAAACGCGTGGATTCTTACGATTTTTCACATTTCAACGCGACGTTACCAAGACGGGGTTTTTATTGGTAAATTTTATCGATTACAAATTTTTAATTTAAGAATCAAACTTGATTTTTAAAAATATTATAAAAATTCGTTACGGCTTAAACTCTTTTAATAAACTTCATCTTGGTACATATTTTTAATTTAATAACGTCGGGTTAAGTACAGTCTAGAACGAGTCGGTGTATATAATAAGATACGTGCAATCATTGTTTTGCTACAGTAGTATCTCGATAGTCTGTTATAACACTGTCTGGCAGTATCCTATGTATAGAGATAATGACAGCGGCGAGTGATGTAACTCCGAAGACGATACATAATCGCAAGTAACTTGTCGCATTCGTTACCTCGAGCCACAGTTTTTCAATTAAGTAAATATGTGAAAAACGGAATGCAAAGTGACGCGAGTGTCGAAAGCTTTGAATATTGCAACTGACATTATGATCTTAACCCTTAAGTGCACAGTTTTGCATATATGCAAAACGTGATTGTATACTCTCTCGTATGAAGTTCAAACTGAAAACGCACGATTTTGCACGTTTAAAGGACCTTCTCTGGCCTTTCTGTTCTCCCTTGGGTGGGTTCAAATTGGTAAAGAAGAATTTGCAGTCCTTATTTATTTAAAAAAAAGCAATTAAAATGCTACGAAAAATTGCATATTTAAGGGATAAGAAATCGCTCGAGCAACAACTACAACAGTCCATTTGGTTAACATAAAAGAAATTGCGACACATACGGAAACGTGTGAGATACGTCCTTCAGAGCCGTGATGTAAATAAAAATTTACATCAGCAGTATAATAACAGCAGGTAGGTACCGTGCGATTAGCATGCGCGACGCCGCAAAGTTTCATTCATTTATATATCGAGCGAAATGCAAAAAAAACGAGATGAGATTTGTTTAAAGAACATATTACGCGATCGCCGCATAACACATGTAATCATGTCGCACGAGGCGCGAGGACTCGCGACAAATGTGAAATGCGGAATGACAGCTGAGACCTCTCTCTCTCTCTCTCTCTCTCGTCGCACGCGACGCTGTCATCCGCACGGTATCCTCCTGTTTTGTTTCCTTCGCCAGAAAGAGGAAAAAGAGTGTAACACTCACCTGGCTTTGCGCTCCAACTGGCCGCTCAGCTCGTTCCTCTTCAGCACAAACGGCAACCTGTTGCTCACGACGATCATGCTCCCGTTGGAGGTGAAGCTGCCCGGTTCTGTGGACCACATGATGGCGTAGTCGGTATGGGAACGTGGCAGGTTCACGCGGGAGCGTGAAGGTGGGAAGCGCGTGGTGAAATCGCGTTTGGCGGCCGTGGTCGACACGGTCGTCCTTGCCCACGTGAAATGTCGTGTGTCACGTGCGTTTAACGCGTATACAGCGGCGGAAAAGATACGGCTCTGTTATTCTTTCTTTCTCTCTCTCTTTTTTTTCCTCTGATAGAAATCGGCTCTCGTGCGCGAAACGTGTTGCGCGGTTTACTGTCGCTCTTGACTGGGGTCCATGATTCATCGGCGTTCTATCCCTCGCCGGTTTATACAGATCGCGGGCTCGGAAGGAGAAAGAGAGAGAGAAAAGCGAAGGGGGGAAAATTTAGAGAAAAAAAAAATCAAGCGCGAAAGCGGGTAAGATCGGGTTGCGCCGATGCGTTGCGTTGCGCGGCCGGGACGACACTAAACCGATCTCGACTAACGCCGTCGCGCTTTATCCCTCTTAAGTCGGCGCGACCGTTTGGTCCAAAGTGCGCTCCCTATAACCATATCAATGACGGAGGCCGCGACCTTTCAACCACCACCCGCGCGCGCGACCCTCTCGACCGCCGTCGCCGCCGTTGCCGTCGTCATTGCGCGATCAAACACAATTATACGCTCTCCGCGACCGAGATGCCATGGCGTTGTGTATGCCGTTTCCATCACCGTCGGATGACATGTAAACACACCGGGGTGACACCCCCCTCCCCGGCGCCCCGTTCCGTGATATCGCCGAGATATCGGGGAACGCCCGCTCCGAGTCGCGATTTCGGGGAACCGGTACTCCGGATCTCGGCGACGATCGCACGAAGCGCGCTCCTGGATGCGTGATCGATCACTGACCGCGAATAGCTGATCGCCCACGGTCGCGCTCTTCACCTTGCGAACGAACGTGCCTTAATTCTGTCTCGCGTGCGCGCGACATCCGCGTTGTGACGCAATTTTAGCGGATCGTCGACGATTCGTTCTACCGCGATCAGCTTGACTCGTGACCGGTAAGGGCGCTATTTTCTGACACGGAACTGGCGAAGCAAACAAGTATTTTTCTGTTTAGCGTGCAAACAATTGTGCTTATAAATTACCGCCGATTGTTCGATGTTCTTTATACAACATAAGATAAGATAGTGATATTTCTCTCTTTTCGTTGAACCTAGATAAGTGACTAGCGTCTTATCGATAACCGCCTCGAAAAGATCGCGAAGCGTAAGCGCCGCAATAGTGTCAACTGTCGTTTCACTAGTTAAGGATTAACATCTCAGGATGGATGAAAACGACTCTTCGAATAGCCTTCGAAGATTTCAGGATTATCGATAATTAAAGTGAAAAAAATGACGTTACATTTTCCCGAGTAAATACCGTTAACGAGATGTGGAAATCGGAGTGATTATAATCGCGAGAATTACATTGTACAGCAAAAAATCACTTTTTTTCGAGCTCAAGAACGAACCTTGCTCTACGCCAATCATCAATATCTTTTTAACCATAAGCGACACAAAAAAATCCCTTTTAAGGGCTGAAGGTCCTAATAACATACTTAATTTTGATTGCGATTAAACTTCTCCGATACGTCACATATCGTAGTTATAATATGCCAAAATACACTAAAATAGCCCATTTTTGCAACTTTAACTGCAAATATCTCAAAATTGTGACGTGACAGAGCAATTTGGCAAACGAGATCGTTTTCTGCGTCCAAAAAACTATCGAATGTCACAAGATTCGTTCTTGTGCTCTTTTTTTGTTGTACAGTGTTATCGGAGGCTCGATCGCTGCTTTTCGTGATTGAACCCGCAGAAGATTTGCGATGAGTCATTCGCGGCTCGCTAAAGCGCGTCTAGCCGAAAGCCGTGATGCAAATACATCTTTAAAAAAATGTTATCGTCACGTTGCGAGCGCGTGTCACCATCGTCGTCGTCTTCGTCATTGTCGAGGCGACACGCGGAAAATTGGCACGCGTCGCGCACGTGGTGCGCGCGTTGTTTTAACCTACGCGGAAATAAAAGATATTTACACCATCGGGTGGATTAATGACGCGCGAACGGGTTATGTGAGAAACTACCAACAACTTGAAGAAACGTGATTTTTCTCTCGTCCTGGAAGCGACGCGATAAAGAATAATGTCGAGCTCTTATTTTTATGTTCAAGATCACCGATATATATACTCGCGGGTTTCAATTCAAATATTTATTTCATATATGTAACTTGGATTTGTAAATGTATTAAGCAAAACGTAATGGCCAGTCTACAATGAGTCGTTAGTCGTTAGTCAGATGTCGGAAGAGAGTCGAAAAAAGTCATAAACGTGTCATAAGGCGATCGGAAGTCTGTAATCGGCAATCATAAGCGATTGGCCAAGTGCCATCTCTTACGATCACCGATTACAGGCCTTCGATTGCTTACAATACGTTTATAACTTTTTCTTCCGACATCTGACTAACGACTAACGACTCATTGTAGACTGGCCATAAGACCTTCGAAATTTTCGTTGATATTTCGCACAACGACACGCGGCACGGTGTGTGCGAAAACAATCTAAAGCAAATAAGTATGCGTTAATAAATGAAGTACTCGGATATTGCGCGATATTCATAACAGAAGATAAAAGAAATGGAGTATTTAAATACACACATATACAAACACACGCATGCACGCACGCATATCAGCGTATTCGCTTCTCGTCGGAAGCTGCACGTACGCCGGGTTATCCGTCGATAGGCGAATCTGGAGGTATTTCATCCGCGTGCAGTTTTTATTTAAACTGCTCGATGCATTTTAAAACTATTCAAATAGTTGAGTGTTGTTCGACTCTTTTGATAAAATGCGAGACTTAATATTTATTACAACAATCGAATTTTTCCAGTTTTTCCGAAATTCGTACCGTTTAAAGCTCGTTTTAGCTGTATAAATTTGCGTAAGATTTCGGGATAGAGAATTTTGTTTACAATTCTTTATTGTATTTTGATATAAATATCTTTATATAAATATTTTATGTCTGTGTATTTCGATTCTTTGATGTTTTTCGTGACATTACGCGGCACATAAAATTATAAATAGAAGTCGATATGATTTTCTAATTCTATTCTGAATTTTAGCGCAAGTGACGGGAGAATCTAAAGTGACGCTTGAAAGAAAACTATATGAAAATATGAGAGATTAAAAAGAAAAAAGTAAATTATTGAAATAAAATAAATCTTTCTATTATTTATACGTATTTAAGACTAATTAATTTAAGACAGTTAATGCTCTCGCGATCTTTTTCATAATTCATATAAATATCAATGAAAATCGTAAAGATAGAGGTTGTAAAAATAATCGATCATGTTTATATTATCGTAAATATCGCGATTGAAAAGATCAAATCGTTGTTTGTTTTTGTCTTTTGTCAGGATCTGAAATATAATTAAAATCATAAAGCGACGATAGCGCGCGCTAATTGGAGCTAATCAACATCACGCTGTGTATCGCAGCGATTAAGGTATATTTCGCTCGGATTATAATGCGTCGATTCAACATCAATTCTCTTTCGGAACCTCCGGCTCTCGACGATTATCTAATCTGTATTTTTACATAACGCTATATATCTTCTTTTATCCGTTTTCAACTTTTATGTCTTGCAAATAAGTTCATTACGCGTCTGTTCGATAACGTCCCGGATGTGCCTGCTGATCTATTGAATAAATCTATTTCGCAGATAAACGTTGGACGTTGGAATGCACAATAGAATCAACGTGACCTCTCAACCACGATAAAGCGTCTAAAGCGTCCAGCACGTTGAACATCTCGTAGCGTTAAAATGTGAATCACGCGTAACTGTCGAAGCGCGCGATTTCTGATCTGATTACGAAAAACCGAAAGTATCTTCGAAGACGAGGCATGCAAGAAGCTGAGGAAGAATTAACGCTGCAAGTTTGAATTGAATCGAATTTCCTTTGATCTCCTTAGAAAATAAAATTAATGGTTTTGCATCATTATTTGCCTGCTTTCTCGTTGAATTATTCTCTTGATTCGTTGATTTATTATTCATCGCTGGTTCGATTGCCGGTTTCAATCACGCGTTCTCTTTGAAGACAGGCAATTTCGATCGATGTTCGTCGGAGGGAACATTATCGAAGACACATAAGAAACGGATATGTGCCAAGGTAATGAAGTAATTACTAGCCACTTTGCCACGTGCTAAGTGCGAAGAGTGCCATCAGCGTCTTTACAGTTTTGAAAACCCGGAGCATGTTAAGAATTTTTAATCAATGCAATGCTTTGTTGCCAATTGGGATGGTTGGTAACCAATTCGAAATTTCTTACCTCACCATCCTTACGATAAATGATAACAGGACTCCAACTCTGTATATGCAAAATTAACGAACATTGTCGATTGAAAAAAAAAAAGACAGGAGAATAAGATGCATTGAAAAATGCATTTTATAGAGTACATACAAATTAATAGTTATTTCTAACTTAAATTAATTGCAAATGCAAAAATAAACGTGCATTGGAAAGTACATGTTGAGAATAGGTAAAAATAAACTTTCAGTTTTTTTTCTTTAATATCTACAAACGCAGATATATTGAAAATAACGTAAAATAGACCTTTTAAGTAATTTCGAGCTTCGTCGAAAAAAAAGAAAACAAAAGAATAAAGTATATTGAAAAATACACGTTGAAGAGTATAAATTGGCTATTGGTTTGTTTTATTTTGAATAAATTATAAACATCGACGTCACAGAAAATACATAAAGGCTGCATTCCGATATTCACTGTCAGTACTGAAAATCTATATTTTTGTATATATTACGTATACTATAGATTTTTAGTACCGACAGTTGTTGACAGTAAAATATCGGAATGCAGCGAAAGTCTAACTGTTCAAGTGCGACAACAAAAACAGATGACGAAACGTTTCTCGCGTCGTTCGTGAATGGGTTCACCGAATTTGAAGGTCCACGTGCTCCGTTCGTCACAAGACGCTGGCTAGCTACGTCGTTACGTAAAATCGAAGCGGCGCACCACGTGTTCGGCCAGCTACTTCGGAATCGCGAATGTGTGGGCGCATTCCATTTTCTTGGAGTCGGTTAAATCCAGATTTTTCGTAATTTAGATCGGAAATAGCTGGCAGCCGGGAAATCGCGCGAAACCCTTCGGCGAATCTCTGTACACTCGGCAGAATCGAGAATCGATCGCGAAAAATTAACGATTCGATCGTCCTGCTAAGAAGCCACGCGAAATTCCGTTGACACGGCGTAAATCGTGATTCCGTCGAACGCAACCCGAGCATCGGCGATTTTTTATTCAATATCGAGCTATTCTTGCATCGCGAGTGCAATTACAATTTCTTGCATAAGAAACAATACGCAGGCAATTGTTAATTTCATTCGGGTTTTGTGCGCATGTGTATGCATATGCATGTGCGCGCATTACTTTTTTGTTTCGTCTATTTTTGTCGTTCAAATCTGTCTCTTCGAAATACACTCCCTTTCTTATTCAACGACAGTTATTCCTTTCTTTTCTGACTTCTGAGGCTCGCGTTGCGGACTTACCTCTTTCAAAGCGAAAGAAAGTGCAATCGAGAAAATTGGATCCGTTCTCCACGAGTAAAAGGCCGAGGAAGGTCGAGGCTGCGATCGTCCGAGAGAGGATTAATTCGCGGACGGGATTAATTCGGTGGACGTACGCGCGAATTTATCCATTCGCGAATAATGTCGTCGACGATTCTTTCACGCGGCCCGCTCGCGAACACGTGACACCAGACACCACCGGAGTGATGGCATCGACGAAAGAAAAAGGCGCGCGGTAGATCGATTCGCACTAGTCACTGGCGTACCTTTTCGCGCGGTGCGGCTTCTTCTATTTTACTTATACATACTTATCCCTTCCGCGCGCTCGGCGCCTCGCCAAATTGAATCGCGATCAAGTTCTCGGTCCGGGCTGCGGGTAGATTTCGTAATCGCGCGGTTACTTGCCAAGGACGAGGTCAGTTTTTCCGTGAGATAGGTACGGGAAAACGAACCGCGTGTCGACTCGTCGCGAGTCAACGCACGGCGAACTTGACACGTCACATTCTAGTGCTGTAGGATTGCCGTACATAAATATACATTGTATAAATATAACCCTCGAATAACACGATTATATATAAAATCGTGCAATTCAAGACTCCATATCTATATATAAAATTTTGTTTAAAGGACTATTAAAAAAAAAAACTTAAAAAGCAGGGTTGTCATAACTTTTTACCGTGCTGTTCGAGGCTCCGTGCCATCAAATTCAGGTATCGTGTTATTCAAGGATCCCTATATTCTAAAAATATATTTGGCGGTACTGTGTCTCTCGATATCGAAGTGTAAAAATATATCTAATACGAGCGCTTCGACCGATAAAATTTAACGTGTACACTTCGGCTAAAAATACGATGACATTAAATTCGGTATTTTATCATTCAAGATGTTCCTATTATCTCTTTATCGTCATATAAACTTCACCTACAGCGGCGGCTTTTACCAAACTCCGATTAATTGCCTAAAGCAAAATTCTTAACTGCAGTATAATTCGTTGTTTCCAATTCTTCTTTTCTTTTCATATGTTAAATGAAAAATTAACAGGCCGGGGTGATATTTTTCGCGATAAATTCTTTGTAATGACTTAAGACTTAAAAAAGAATGCTTATTAGCATCAAAAGTTAAATCGATTATTGATTTAAATATGTGGATTTACTATTCCAACAGAAAGCTGTAATATTCTACCGAAAAACAAACGGCGTGCAGTTTACCGAGTTGGAAAAAGCATACAAAATTCACACAGAAAAATTGTCATTAAGCTACCAAGATTTAGCCCGAAAGTGGGCTAGAGATCTTGGCAGCCTAATAATATCTTCTCTAATAATTTGAAAAAATTAACAGTTCTGTTCATGTTAACAAAATAGCGTTACCAAGTCAAGCAAGTTTAATCGGAATTTGGTGCATCTGGTGCACACTGTGCACAGTAGAGCGAATGATCAAAACAGAGATCAGCTGGGAACTGAAACCGTGAGCCCACCGGTTTACGCCTATGTGCGTTCGAAGGAGAGGGACACGTAGCGCGGACAAGTCCAACTCGCTCCGTTCCAACGTCGTCACAGCGTTGTTTTCGCGCGGCTGACCTTCCGACACCTTTTTACTAACTTCCGACAGGCACGACGAACGATAGGGAGCCGGTGAAAAAGGAAGCGTGTAAAAAGCACGATCGGCGTAAACGCGTGATGACCAACGACATTGTTTTATCCAACGGTCGGTCGGTCGACCGACCGATCGATCGACCGGACGACCGGCGGATGACCGGACGATCATCATCATCAGAGGGCGAAAAAATTGACAGATCGACCTGGGACACCCACCTCAACGTTCGACTGTCGTCCTTTATTTCGCGTGACAGTGCGGACGTTTATGTGCGTCCTCGGATGTGCCTACTGCCTTCGAATGACGAAACTGGACGAAACTGAACTTACTGAACCCGATGCGAGGGTACCGTGAAGTTTACCGGCGAACGACGCGACGACGGCGACAATGGCGGCGCCGGTCAGTATCTTGACGGGAGACGTTCTTTTGAGTAGGTAACACCGGCCGACGTCGGCTACATAACTGGTGCCCTCCTTCGCGAACTTTCCAAGCGAGCGAAGCTGCTCGCTGCTGGAATCGATGGCGGCTCGGGCGCGAGACCCGCCAACCGGGAGCGGAAAAATTCCCTAGGCTAGGTCGGTCTCGAGAATTCCATGGGGAATTCTTTCTGTCGGGAAGGCGCGAAATTTAAATGTAGTATAATTCGCGTTACTTGTTGTTGATGATACATATATAGGGTTCGATCCACTTGGCGTTTCAAACGCTCTTGAAAACATTTCATCCTTGGCTGCGTTCCACTTAGCTCCGCTTATCGCTCATTTCGTCCTTGTTTAACATTTGACAAACAAGGATGAAATGATTCCACGAGCGTTACGGAGCGATAAGTGGAACGCACCACTTGTCGTTCATCAAATGTTAATCAAGGACAAAATGATGATCTGAAGAAGCGTTTGAAGCGTCAGTAGATCGCACCCAATAATACATACATATATATTCGTTTAGTAACTTTAGAGATTTTTCGAGAATCTCGAAAGACGCATTTTCCAATTCTCCTTATCTCTGATAAGAAAATGTTTTTCTGATAACTTTGACGATCCGAGAACCTTGGAAGACCTGTATTTCAACTCTCATCGTTACACAATCTTCCTTCAATATAACATACTTTAACGATTTTTCCAAGGTTTCGAGAAATATTTCAAGTATTTTGTTGGCTCTTATCGAACTACATTCTTCCGATAACTTGTACGATTTTTCGAGAAACTTAAACGATTTGTATTCCAAAAGTTATGTCGTTACTGGAATATTCTTCCGATATAACTTCAACAATTTTTCGAGAATCTCAAACCATCCGTATTTCAAGTTTCGTTACCAGAACATACTCTTTTAATAATTAACGATGATGTTTCGTGGAATCTCAAAAGAAGCTTTTACCTCGCACGAGTCTCGCCTGTTGTCTAAAGTTCTAAACAATGTTTTTTGAAGTCGCCGCGGATGATGCGCTTGCGTGCGACGCGCGACACGACTCCACGGAGTGTTTGTCCACGTTCGTCGCGACGTCGCCGTCGCCGTCGCGAGTCGCGAGTTCGTATTCATTGATTCATTTGTGTTCTCGATGACAATAAGTCCATAAGTCTCGCTTCTCCTAGCAGAGAGAGAGAGAAAAAAAAACGGGCGGTCGCGCATGGATATTACGAGTATAAATAAACCGACCAAGTTACAAATTGGCGGTTTTCCGCGGCGTACCGTCGAGCGGGCCGCGTTGTGGCCGCGTCAGCCTCGCGTTATCCCACCGCAGCAATTGTAGTGCTCCGCGGGCTCGACCGGGCAGCGGACGACGGGGGAGATTCGCGCGTGGCCGTAGCCGTAGCCCGTAGCTCAGAGCTCAGGCCCAGGTCCCACTGGTCTGGTCCCAGTGAGAAATGGCCGCCGTTTTGAGGAGACAGTTCCGCGCCGTGGCGAGCGCGCTCGCCGGCAACGGGGGCTTGCAGCTGCACGTAGCCGCACGGTGAGCGCGCGTCAACTCGCGCGGAGCGAGTTGCCGCTGTTCTTTTCCCTCTTCTTTAATTTCTCGAGCGATCCGTCGCGATCCGCGGACGAGGAGTCCGCGAGAGCGGGACGACCGACGGCGACCGACGGCTCCGATCGGATAATCGCTGTATCATTTCCGCAGGTCCTTGACGAGATCGTCGATCTGTTGCGACACCAGCGAGGGATGGCTGAGCAAGCTCCTGGTGAGGAAGATCGAGCCGACGAAGGAGCCGCACTCGCGAATGCTCTCCCACAAGGAGGTCATTTACGCGTTGAACACTCATAACATACGGCCAGACTCGATTGACAAATATTTGGCCAACTAGTGAGTCGACATCTTTGTGACCTTGCCTCCGAGTGCGTGATAGTTCACTGACCTATTAACCCGATGCAATAGAGATCGATCAGTCTTTAACGGAATTCGACGCTTTGAATCATTTATTTTTTATCGTTCACAGTTTGTTTTAGATATCGCGGGGCAATCCCTATAGGGCCTAGGGGATATAGTTTGAGCTCGTATTGTTTATACATTCGTATTTCATCACATTGTCATTTTTTTGTCAGCTTTGTATGTGTAACCGGTGTTAAAATGTTATTTATGTACTTGTTTTGTAACGTCTGTGAGTTTATGTTAATATTTCCTTCTTGTCAAGCTGTAAACAAGTCCGTGACACTAATGTCCGTTTCTACCAATGTAGATGACAAAGGTTTTTTTTTATCTATGATTGATATTATTTCTTTTTATGTCATTCCAGTGAGGAGAACGTCAACCTTATACACTCGAAAAAATCTGAATTGAATTGCGAATTAGTGGGTTCGTGGACAGTGGAGGTGGGAGACTTGGATCAGGCCTTACATTTATGGCAATATACTGGTGGATTCGGACGCATAGATGACGCGCAAAATGTGCTTTCCAAAGATGAGGTACGAAATATCTTGCTGCGTAATGTAAAAAGATGTCAGAGACATAATAGTGATCACTAATGGAAAAAGAATTAATTTCCGTAGGCTTACCAGCAATTGCTCAAAGAACGAGGGAATTACCTAAGATCGCGTCATTTGCAATATCTGTTGGCGTTCAGTTATTGGCCACCGCTGGAAAAGCGAACAGGTCCGAACATATATGAGATACGTAGTTACAGTTTGAAGCCGGGCACGATGATAGAATGGGGAAACAATTGGGCGAAAGCTATTAATTATAGACGCAACAACGACGAACCGTTTGCTGGTTACTTCTCGCAAATTGGTAGACTGTACAATGTTCACCATATTTGGTGTAAGTGAAACTTGTATTGTTTATATTACGCTGCCTTTATGTACATTATATGCTCGGTCTTCACACACGTTAAATAATGTTTGTGTTTACTTCTCAGGTTACAAGGATCTTCAGGCACGTAAGGAGACGCGCGAAAGTGCTTGGAGATCACCCGGTTGGGACGAATGTGTCGCTTATACCGTACCCTTGATAAGAGAAATGCATTCGCGCATATTATGTCCAACTTCGTTTTCGCCCACGAAATGAGGTTTTACGGGTGCGAACACAAATGCATTTGTATATTATACCGGTTATTTCTTATAAATATATATGTACGGACTGTAATATTGTAAAAACATTTGTTACATGTATACACTGTGTAGATTTAAGTATGAACTATTTACGCGCATGAGAAAAGCTACAAATTTTTGTTGTATTACAACTGGCAGGATGTAGTTTGTTACCATTTGACGTTATACATTGGCAAAAGCAGCTATTTATATATATATATGTATACATATATATATATGTGTGTATCATATACATATATATATATTACACATGTATATATACTTACATATGTAATGCCATGCTTTTGACAAAATGTCAGTTGAATCACAACATATGCATTATATATATGTATGTATAGAGAGAGAAAGATATAAAGGAATGGTCTTTATAATTACATGCGTTTTTTCTTCTAACTCATTCATCAGCAATTTTAAAACATTCCACAGGAAGACAATACGATATCAATATATTCTGATTTTCTCATACTTGCTATATCTTTCCATTTTTACGTATTGTATTTGATATATATTGCGAAAATGTAGGTGGCACAGTATAACATAGAACGAAAAAGGTGTTTCTGAATTTATCATGTTAGTCAAATGTTTAAATCGTCAATAAAATTTGATTTGCGCATCACTTAAAGGATCGGCGAACTGGATCAAAATGCATTTATAGATTAACATTTCTCGACTTTATTATCTTATCAATATGTATTGGATTAAACAGTTTTAGCTGTTTCCTTTAAGCCTTAATTTGCGATGGAGATAGCGCACCGTACATACGGTTTCCCCAATCGATTTAGTTACAAAATGTCTATGTGTATATATTACTTAAATTTGAAAATAAAACTGAATATTCGTATAATTGTTATCAAGAGCGTTCATGATTCGATTATTCGCATTACGTATAATGCATTTCACGATTATTTATTAGGAAGCTATTGGTGTCTATCTTAATAAAATTTTACATTTTACGTTATGTTAATATAATAATAGAGATAATAATAATAATAATAATATAACAATAAAATAAAATTAATAAAATAATTAGAAAAATATTAGTCTATTCGTCTAACGTTATTATCTCATACTACAAATGAGTTGTATGAGCATATTTACTACAAAATGTTAACTCACCCACTCAGGCAATTACACTCAATTCGATGTAAAACACTTCAGCATTGCCACAGAAAATTCTTGATGAAATTATTCCCTTTAATTGCAGCTAAAGTTAACGCTCGTATAACGCTATCGCGAGAATCTGCATATTAATATTTCAATATAGAGCTGTACATATTATAAAATTGAATAAAGAATAAATATCCCAGATTCCAATAATGACCTCATTAAAAATTGCCTTAATATGCACACTATGTATATACATCAGACATATGAGTCTCATCCTACTATCAAAATATGGTACAAGGTGTTTGGTATGAGTTCTGTTCTCGTTTAAGAACAAAATGCAAGAATAAATTAAAATCTAATTACCGATGAAGCTTAGGATTGGCAAAGGAGATCAGATCTAAGTTTTGTTAAAAACAAATCATTTTCGGTTCGTTAGAAGATAGATCGAACGTAAATCTTATACGACCTCGTATATACATCTGGTTTTCACTATTTGGTTGTCTTCAAAAGATAAAAATTTTTCGTTTTCTAAAACATCTGTGGAAAATCATTTTGTTTCGCAAAATTAAAATATCCTGCATATTCATTCTTTCGGTTTAATGATCAGTTTGAAGTATTTTCTACTTTCCGTGATATCAATGGTATTTATTCTGCAAATACGACGATAATGCCTATTCTTGCTACTCCGCGCATCTTCGCCTTGAAAGAAGCAAGGCGGTTGAAAATAAAAAAAAAAGTTACGATTTGTCTTTAATTAAAGCCAGAAATTGTATTGACGTATATAGTTACATTCACTTCGGTGTTTCGTCGTTTACAAAAACAATATTCCTGTAATTGGCCGAGTGTAAAGAAGACATAATTGGTACTGGAATCGTAATTGTTACAGCAATCTCAAAAATATTGCGTTTCTATCTAACGACAATGAATTGCATTGTAATACAAACCACCAACATTACCAAATCACACCTTAAATGGAAGTAAGTGAAGAACGAGCTCGTCAAATAATCACAAGCATAATTTGATAATATGACATTTGATATGCTATGCCTATGATTAATTGTCTAGCTTACCAGTTATCACATTCCAAAGTTAACTGATAGTTAGCCACGCGCGCGTTTTTTGGAAAATTTTTATAAATCTCTCTCTCCCTCTCTCTCTCTCTCTCTCACTAAATACTAGATATCATAATCAAAATTCCATATCGCAATTTTATGTAAAGCGAATAAATATTTACAAAACTCTAGCAACATCGACAATTAATTTCCTAAATTGGGTATTCAGCAAGTTATAGTGATTACACAGACTATGGTCGAGAATAATTTTTTTGTTACATACATACAACTTAACTCAGAGACACAACTCGTGCTATAATTAAAAGTGCATATAAAACTTAACAATTTTTTTTTATATAAAACCTCCCCAATGAAGGTAGGTTTGAAATCTAAAACTTTAATAATCGCAATTGTTTAATTAGTTACTTATAATAACAGAAAGACGTATTATATAACATATTAAATTAGTCTAAACAGTTTTCCTATACCACACATCTTATGTAATTTAGAGTCCGGTTTGTTAGCACGAACAATCTCTGTTAGTCTGCTGTGCTTAAAATTGATTATAGTAATTACTTTCGGACATCTCTCCCTAATAAGAACCTAAGGAAGAATTTTTATGTATCTTCATACACACATGGATGTCATCTTACTGTCTTTTCCATAATGAGTCGTTACATCTCGATTACTATGTATACTATGCGTCTGTATTTACATATTATAATGGGGAACGTTTCAAGTTGATTGTGACAGTTTTCCGTATCGTACATCTTGGAACATATAACCATGACAACAATTGTATTGTTCGTGTTTCACTACAATCACTCATATCACTATAATTGAACACACTTTTAGATATTCGTTCGATGCATGCTAGTCGCTTATAATTTTCGCGTCAGAATTTCATGAAGGATTAAAAAAAAGACACATATTTATATGTATAATATATATAACGAAAATTGGAATGTACAATGCTATATTGCCATTGTGACACGAATGACAAAACGTTTACTATGTGAATGTCGTTTAAAGCTTTTCACTTTTGTTTAAACGTATAAATTATTATGAAGAAGAAAGATCTATGAGCTTACGAAATAAAATGCAATATTTTTGGTCATGCCCCTCAATCTGTATTATAATTATTTACTTTTACCTCTTCTAAAACTAAATAAACATTTTTACTTTAATTTACGTGAAGAATCTCAAGCTATAAGCGTAAAATAAAATTATAGAACATTAGTTCTTTCTTTTTGTAATATACGCATTAATTAATATAATACAAGTATTTGATTGGCTTTCTCAATTATCGCTTACAAGTATTTCATGGTGACATGTTTTACTGCTCTCCACATACATATACATATATAATATATATATTATATAAATACATACATATATATATATTATACACATATATATTAGAACGAAATTAGATTATAATTTAATTGTAAAAATTTACTTTTTTTTACGATAACGATGAAATGCTTTATACAATAAAACTTACTGACATTCCATAATCCAAAAATAAATGGACTGTATGCATTGCTAAGTATTAACTACATAATATAGTAGCACCTGCTTAAAAGTGTTATCATTAATGGAAATACACTTTCTCAGTACGCAGTTTTTGAATTTAATACGAAACGAGACGATTTGTTTTTCGTTGATTTTACAAGAAAGTGTTAAGTTATCATACAACGGAACATTATTTAGGAGGAACAACAGTCACAATCATTTGGATATAGATTTTATATGTATAATGGTTTCGTGACATATAAAATAAAAATATATGAAAAAAAGTGGGAAAAAAACGAAACATGTACATTTTGATGTAAAAGTATAATATTGGGATGTGTACTGGATGAAATTTTGAATGTACTTATAGTATGTGATACAATATAAATACATATAATGAAGCAATGGATCGAAAAGTAAATTTTAAATTCTTATAAGCAGATGTGAAGGAACAAACGTTCGTTGTACATTTGTTCAAAATTGTAAAATGCAAATAATTGATATAATTGAAACATTGCAAAAAGTGAATATTTTTTAGAATTTACATACCAAATTAAAATAAATTACCATAACTATCAATATAAAAGCATAGAGCATTTAGGGAATGCATCAATAATATCAATTTGTCTTATTTAAGATTGTCTATTATTTAAGGTATCTGTATCGTAATTTTAAAATCAATCTGCGTGATTATTTCTCTTCATTAAATATCATATTCAACGTATAAATACTTTTAACTCGATTGAGATTTAATGCTGTATGAATAAAGACACGGAAGTGAAAAGGAAATATATAATGTGAGATATTAAATAACTAGTCTTATAACTGAAAATAAGTTTGTTTAATAATGGCGCAGAAAATATTTAGATCAATAAAAAAAAAAAAAGTTACGTGTTAGCAAGAATTTTCCATTAAAAAGTAAATATTTAACTCTTTGTTAAAACAATGCATAAATTAATATATCACATAAATAATTTTTACATGTTATTAGTTTTATATGTAAACTATATATTTAGAAGATATCCAAGATACAACGTTAAAGAATCTTATAGCAGGAAACTTGAAAGGAATTGAAAAGTAAATACCAATTGTTTCTAATTCTCAACAATAATTTTATTACCAATTAAATTTGTCATACTGAGATATAAGAGATGGAAAGTAAAGAGGCAATAAAAGGATAACTTGTTGTATCCTGAATCTAAATCTTTTTTTGAGAAATGCACGTTTGATTACTGATATTTATACTTATAAAAGAAAAGATAGTTCTGCTAAATTTATTAGAATAGTACTTACAATTCTCCATTATAACTTTTTATTACTTTAAACAAAATATGTATATAATTAAAATCTTGAAATATACGTAAAAAATATACTAACGTGCGCGCGATGCTCAATTATCACGAAGAACTTCAAAGTTCATCATGAAAGCAACGTAAAAATCAGAACACCACACTGAGAAAGCTATCTCAGATTTATCTGAAGTCTTAGGGGAAAAAGAATAAAATATATATTAATTCGAGCATTATAATTATCGTACTGTTACTTTTATTATATTTGTAACATATTAATAAATAAATGTCTCTAAATTTTTTTTCTGTGGTATAGGGCGTGTATAAAATTCTTTATTCTCTATGCTGACATCGTCTGACCTATGTATATTAAGATTCTCTAATGGATATTAGAAATGAGATTAATGCTTTAAAGACTTTCTTTTATCTCTATCTGCATCTCAGAAATATTTGGTTACGTTTAATAAATATTACAATGTTGCAAAAAGCATCTAAATTCTTCTTCAATATGAAGCTCTCTTTCTCTTTCTTTTCTGGTAAATTGTGTTGTTATATCTGGACGATTAAAAAATACATGCCTAGGACAATTTCAGTCCAATACACATTCCCAACCTTAACAAATCTTTCAGGTTCGGTTCAATGCACGCAACGAGCCAACCCTTGTTATATTTGTAAGTCATTGAATTGTTATACGTCGGTAGACTCGTCATGTACATACTTACTACAGGCAGACACACATACATATACATATACACATACATATATATGTATACGTATATTAATGATTAAAATTAAAGACTATTAGGGGGGAAGGACGTGGAGCTATTACTGTGAGCCAGACTTAACATGGAGCCGCTAAGGCTTTCATCGTCCGGATAAGA